TTATGTACCATGAAGTCGGTTCCAACTCTTAAGGATCCTGTACAGGGTTTCTGAGGCTGTTCTTTTGTTTTTGTTTTTTTTAATGTTTTATTGTGAATTGTGTGATAGTCTACATGGGAGAACATCAGCTTTACATTAATTCTATCATCCATCATTTCATTGGCATAGTTACCATCCCGTCCATGCATCTTCACCCAACCAAGGGGTGTACACTGTAAGCCTGCACCACCCCCCACCACAGTCCTCAGCCCCTTTCCATCTCCTGATCCCGAGTCCCCAGCCACACCATCTCTTGACGTTGTCTTCTCTGCCTCCATCTCAGGCCTCACTGTGTCTCTGGGTAGGATTCCGCTCTTCGCTCTTCTCCATTGATGGTCCCAGGGTCCTCTGCTCCTAGACTGATAAGTTAATTACTCCCCTCTTTGCTACAAAATGTCCACCTTTAGATTTCCAACCCTCACAATCAGTCCTGATAACAATTATTCACCATTACATCACAAGAGACCCATCTATACTTCGTTTCATCAGCCCTTCCTAGACAGGCTGGACACCACTCACTGGAGACTCTACCTTCATCCATGCTCTCTGGATCTAGGTTCCCTCTTGAAAGCTTGTAAGCCAGTCACTTCTTCTGAGGCTGTTTTATGGGAGCAGAAAACCTCATCTTTCTCCTGAGGAATAGCTGGCAGTTTCGAACTGCTGACCTTGAGGATGGCAGACCAATTCATAACCACTATGCTAACAGAGGGGACTTCAAAAAGTGTGTGGAGAAACAAAATGAAAAGATGATATTTTCCCACTGCACTATAAACCACAAGGTCGGCAGTTCAAACCCACCAGCTGTTTCTCAGAAACCCTATACAGGGGCTCCATGAGTCAGAAACGACTTCAAGGCACTTAACAACAACCGCATAAATACATGTGACTACATTCCTATTCCTTAGCTGTTAGTGCAGTTGTGTATGTGTTTGTTGTTGTTAGTGTTGTTACTTGCCATCGAGTCGGTACCGACTCATAGTAACCCTATGTACAACAGAACAAAACGCTGCCCCGGTCCTGGGCCAGCCTCACAATTGTTGTCACACTTGAGCCCCTTGATGCTGCCACTTTGCCAATGCATCTCGCTGGACGTCTTCCTCTTTTTCTCTGACTCTCCACCTTAGGAAACACGATATCCTTCTCCAGCGACGGGTCCCTCCTGACAATATGTCCAAAGTATGAAAGACGAAGTTTGGCTATCCTGGCCTCCAAGGAACACTTCTTTCAACACGGCTCTGTTGGTTCTTTTGGCAGCCCATGGTACTTTCAATATTCTCCTCCAACACCATAACTCAAAAGCATCAATTCTTCTACGATCTTCCTTATTCACTGTCCAGCTTTTGCATCCATATGAGGTTATTGAAAATACCATGGCTTGGGTCAGGCACACCTTAGTCTTCGAACTGACCTCCTTGCTCTTCAACACTTTAAAGGGGTCTTGTGCAGCAGATTTGCCTAATGCAATACGTTGTTTGATTTCTTGACTGCTGCTTCCATGGATGTTCACAGTTGATCCAAGAAGAATGAAGTCCTTGACAACTTCAGTCTTTTCTCCATTGATAAGAATGTTATTTATTGGTCTAGTGGTGAGGATTTTTGTTTTCTTTACATTGAGATGCAATCCATACCGAAGGCTGTGCTCTTTGATCTTCATCAGTAAATATTTTAAGTCGTTTTCACTTTCAGCAAGCAAGGTTGTATATGTCATTTATTAAAAAGCTCCAATTTTTGGCATACTTCTTAGTGACATCATTTACCTTGGTTAAGCTATGCACATTTCACCCATGTCTGCTGTTATATTTTTCACTTCCCAAAATAACAAGTGTCTACTACCTAGAGTGATCTCCTCCTCGATCCTTGGTTAACCACCAGTGAATGTTGATTTCGGTATGTGTACCCATTTTTGTTTTTTATAATACAGTGTTTGTCTTTTTGTGACTTACTTCACTCAGCATGGTGTCCTCCAGCTTATATTTTGAGGACTCATCATTCTCCTTCATGGCTGCATAGGGTTGTATTCCATATATGTACCACATTTTATCCATTCATCCATTGATGGACACGTAGGCCGTTTCATCTTTTTGCTATTGTGAACAATACTGTAATGAACATAGGTGTGCATGTGTCTGGTTGTGACTTTAGAATGAGATCTCTAGGGAATATACCTAGCAGTGATATTGCTGGATCACTAGGTTGTTCTATGTCTAGGTTTCTAAGAAAGCACCTGTTGTTTTCTATAGTGGTGGCACCGTTTTACAGTCCTCCCAGCAGTGGGTGAGCGTTCCAATCTCCTCACACGCTCACTGGCTTCTGCACCATTTTAACTGTGGTGAGATGATCTCTCATTGTAATTTTGGTTTGCATCTCTAACGACTAACGATTTTATCTTTTCATGTATCTGTTGGGCACCTGGACATCCTCTTTGGTGAAGTGTTTGTTCATGGCCTTTGCCCATTTCTTCACTGGGTTGTCTTTAGGTATTGAGCTATCATTTACTTAATTGCCTTGAAAATCTAAGAAACTCCTGGGAGTGATGTAGTTGCTAAGTGCTGAGGAGGAGCCACACAGGGGTTGTTGCCCAGCTGAGTTTGTAGGCAGAGAGCCCGTCACTGGGCACTTAACTAAAAGCCAGTGGGGGAGGTGGGGAGGAGAGGCAGAGAGAGGCAGAGCGGGAAGGAGAATGCTGGAGAGCTTGGCTTTGGTGGCATCAACAGGAGGCCTGAAGGAGAGTCTGTGAGTCTCTTCAGCTTCCTTTCTTGGTAATTCACACTATCAAAACCACCCAGTTTCCGGGAGTGTTTACCCTTCCATCACAAGGACTGACAAGTCCTGAAGCCCCGTGCCAGCCCTCAGACACAGACAATTCCATGGTCTTATCTGAGGCTGTCTCTGGGTGGTACAAACTGTTCATGTGCTCAGCTGGGGAATAAAGGTCTGACAATCCACTTGGAGAAATCAGCCACTGAAATCTTTACAGAACAGTTCTACTCTGACACACATGGGTCTACAAATCATCATCAAGCCAACGGCAACTTGTCTACTGGTTCCCAGGGGCTCAGCTGCTCCACAGGACTTTTTCTCCCTTGGTTTAAATGAAAAGGAAGCTAATCAAAATGTCTTGGAAATAAATGAAAATCTGCAAATCCTTCCCTCGTGGTAGGAAATAAGTCTAATTGTGACCTGGAAGGATAGTCATTTTCCCCCTTCTGACTCAAAGGGTTGTTCCCTTTGTCTTCAAATTGCCCTTCCTCCAAAGTTGGGCTAAGTAGAAGTTATTAACAAGCCTGATCTATTAGTCTAGGGAGCTGGGTACCCCTGATTGTAGGTAAAATATAAAAAAGTAGGAACCCTCCACCACACGTGGAAACAGGTGAGACACACACAGAATGAGTTTTGGTGGCAGAAAGGCAAACTGGTCACGTATGCTAATTTCACCCACCCAGTGATGGCAGGCCTGGCCCTTTGATGGTCATTCAACCTCAGGAGGTGTCGGAGCCATCACCTGTCCAGATGAAGATAAAGAACTGCCCTACCTGGCTCAAAAGCCCTGCTGGAAGGGCTACCCAGGGGTCTTTATCAGATGGAGATCGGAGGGTGGGGACCAAGTCTCTGGCAGTATGCTTGACCTTCATGGAGTCTGGAGTGACTGTCGATGCCCACCCCACCCTTCAGGGCTCTAGAAGAAGTCATAGACCCAGGCTGACCTAGACCTCTAGCTCCAGGGCCAGGGCCAGGGCCACAGCCAGGAGGAGAAATGGCTCCTGACAGAGCTGAGAAGACAAGTTTCTGAACCACAGTGACTTCCACACAGAAAGCCATATGGTTTCTGAGTTTCTGAGGTGGAGACCCAGCCTGGAAAGGAGCCAGCCGTGGCAGAGGGTGATAGGCCCCTTTCCCCTCAGCTCCTTCCCTCAGGCCTGGAACCAAGAGGGACACTTGGGTTTCATCTCATGTGTGATATCATATGAATCAAACTGGCTTCTTTCTTCATTAGTCAGACTGAAGAGAAAAGATGGCTCTAAAAGTTAAACTTTGCCCTTCCCAAATTTGGAATAGATTCACATAATGTGTGCTAGACTCCAATTTAAGGAGCTGTCTTATCGTAGTGGTTACAAGTCAGGCTGCAACCTCAAGGTCAGCAGTTTGAAACTACCAGCTGTTTTGTGGGAGAAAGTTGAGGCTTTCTGCTCCCAAAAGATTTACAGCATTGGAAACTATGAGTCGGAACCAACTCCATGGCACACCACCACCACCAGACTCCAATTTAATTTCAGCTCTAGATCAGAGCAGCTCATTTCTCTGTGGGTCGAGCACAGAGGGTCTAAAGGCCAATATGGACTGCCTGGGCATCATAGTGTTCATTCAGTTGGGGGTCCTCTGAAAGGCAGTTGGATTAAATACACCCAGAGCTTCGTTTCTTTATGAATTTGTAGCTCATCATCTTTCCAGGTAGACATTCCTTAATGTTGAAAACAGCTCATGCCCTTTGCACATGGCGTCAGGAAGGACCAGTCCCTGGAGAAGGATGTCATGTTTGGTAAAGTAGAGGGTCCGTGAAAAGTGGAAGACCCTCAACAAGGTGGACTGACATAAGAAACAGGAGCGACTGGAGACTGACACAGGACGCGGCACCAAACAACAACATTCAACAAGAAGCCTTGGCGGTGCCGTGGTGGCTAACTGAAAGGTTGATGGTTCAAAGCCACTAGCCGCTTAGTGGGAGAACGGTATGGCAGTCTGCTTCCATAAAAACATACAGCCTGGAAATCCTCTGAGGCCGTTTAACTCTATCCGAGTGGGTGGGTGGCTGTGACGGAGCTGACCCAATGGGAATGGGTAATGGATAATGTTAACAACACACACAGCAGAACAAGACGAAACTGTGAACACAGCTCGTCGTGATGCGCCTAAGGCATCAGGTACCTGGAAAAGCTTTGGATTCAGAAACGAAACTGCAGACCGAGTAGCAGGTGTTAACGTTTATTACTGTGTGTGTCCCCTTCCCCGCTCGGCACTGCCGTCTAAGCCGAGTGATCTACTGCCAACAGGCGTCCATTCTCCAAATCAAGGTGGTGAGGGAAGCGGGCTCTGTAATAGTCTCTAATAGAAGACACACCGGGCGATCTGGCTGCTCACTTCCGTTCCCCAGAGAGAAAGTAACTAGGAGGGCTGCTTGGCTCGGGGGTGGGGGCGGGGGTGTGGGTATGGCCGCCCCTCAGTCCGAATCCATCGTGAACAGTTGGATGTTCTGGGGGTTCCAGTACAGGCCCGCGGCAGAGCTGTAGACCAGAGACCAGACGTAGGGGATGAAAAACTCCTCGGGCTGCTCCTCTTCCACGTATTTAAATTTCAGTTCTGGAAATTTCTGCAATGAAAACAAGATGCTTTTATTATAATCTCACAGTTCCCAGGAAAGGCAAAAGCAGCCGTGGTTTTTAAACTAACTAAATGGTCATAGGATCAGAGAGCTTCTGGCTTTAAATAGTTTCGCTTTCAAACGGCTCCTAGGAAAATATAAGCAGAAAGAGCAAATGACACTCTAGGTCCCGGGTAGCTAATGTCCACTTGGCTGGGAGTTTGCTGAGAGAGCCGTAGGGGTGAAGCGATGAGAAACTACCGCGCAGGCGCAGCTCACACAGTCTCCTGCCCAGGGCTGGTTCTTCTAGAGAAACCTGGTTTTCCGGAGGCAGTCCCTGTGAAATGATGAGTTTCATCTCACAGTTCCTGGCTCTGACCTAACAGGGTCAGAATGTGCCTCCGGTGTGGTGCCAGCCTCTATACACACTTCCAGGAGCCTGGGTCTACACTCAGCCTCTATACACACTTCTAGGAGTCTGGGTCTACACTCCTGCGGTTTCGCCAGGACTGGGGGCTCTGGACACTGTAGTTGTATGAATTACCATCAGGGCAAAAGCTTGAGTCCCTCTCAGCAGCCCTACGGGCACGCCGCAGGTCATGGACAGCCACCTTTGGCCAGGCAGGCCGGGAATCGTTCATTTATTGACGATCTTCCTCCCATGGGGGGAGGGGGGAGAGAACTGAATGTTCAAGAGAAGGGCTGGTGGAAGGTGGGGGAGAAAAGGACAGGAAACAATATATTCACACACATGCCCCCATACATCACATTTGACACATCATACAGGCTACAGGGAAGAGCTCTGGTAGCATATAAATTACGAGTCGGGCTACTATTCTGCGGGAGAAAGGTGAGGCTCTCTGCTCCCTTAAAGATTTACAGCCTGGGAAACCCTATGCAGGGTTGCTATGAGTCTGACCCGACTCCACAGCACATAACCACCACCATAGGATGCGTGGCCCTGAGGACATACTTTTTAAACTTTTTATTGTGAAGGTTTCCAGAGCAGATCAGCTTTCCATTCAGTCATCCATACATGTTTTGTTTTACGTCATTGATGGTGACCCCATGGTAATCTCACTTACCCACTTCCTACCTGTACTTTCTGCTTCCATTTCTTCTTTTGACCTAATCTTTCTGAACTTTGTCCTTAGGGGAATGCTGCCCTTTTGACCTCAAATGGTTGATGATTCTAGGAAGTAAGTTTCTCCCTAGAGTTACTGATCCCCTTAAAGACCTGTCTGTTGTTGAGCTGAAAAAGTGATCCACGGGAGTGAGTTCATTCCCAGACATGAAGGGGGACCAAGGTCCATATTCGGAGGGGTTTCTCCAGTCTCTATCCGACCAGTAAGTCTGGTCTTTTTTATGATTTTGAGTTTTGTTCCCCATTTTCTCCTACTCTATCTGGGAGTCTCTAATGCGATCCCACAGAGCTGTTGCTAGCGGTAGCTGGGCACCATCTAGTTCTTCTGGTCTCAGGGTCCTGAAGACTGACCTGGTTCCCATGGTTCTTTAGTTCATCGGACTGTTTCTATATGTCACCAGTTTCCATCACTCTTATTTCCACTGGACAAGGACAGACCAGCTGGACCCCAGATGGCCGCTCATGAGTTTTTAAGACCCCAGTGTGAATCACCAAAGGAGGATGTACAACACTGTCTTTGTGGACTATGTTATGTGCCAGTTGATCTTGGTGCTTCCCAAGGTCATGATCTTGAGCCCCCCAGGCCTAGCGACTCATTCCTTCAAGATGCTTGGTTATGTCCAAGGAGTTCTCACCACTTCGGAAAGCAGAAATTTAAAAAAAATCTGTTTTGTTTGCTGCTGTATCCCCAGAGATAGTACCCAGGGACTTCAACAATGCGATGAATGACTGAAACCAAAAAACAATCAATCTTATGTTGAGGACTGACTAGTCTTAAACACAGTCATTGGTGCTTCACGCGTATGATCTTATTTAATCTTTCTTATGTGAATTATTCATTCATTCCTTCTACTTACTGAGTGTCTGCTGCTGAGGGCCAGGAAGGCACTGTGTGTGCTAGGGGGTAGAGACATGAAGCAACCTGTCCTTATGGAAGGAACATTCTCATGGGAGACTGAGACAATCAGACAGTATTAGCAGCAACAAGAAACATTTCTAATTCAGAACTAAGAAAGGTCCAGTGCATTCCAGGAGGAAGCGGTACAGAGGGAAGGGAGAGGTTGGAGGCTGGTCACACTGGGGGCCTAGGAGGGTGGTGATGTTTTTAGTTGCGTTCGGGTTGCTTCTGACTCATGGTGATCCCATGTGTGTAGAGTAGAACTGCTACATAGGCTTTTAAAGGCTGTAATCTCTCAGAAGCAGACTGCCACATCTTTCTTCTGGGGTGGGTTTGAACTGTCAACTTTTCAGCTAGTGGTGCCACCATGGAACTCTTGAAGGGGTGGAGGGAGGGAGAATAAAAACTGGTGAGCAGGGCCAGCTCTGGGAAGGCAAATTAACCTTATGAAGAATGCTGGGCCCCATCCTAAGGCCCCAGAAGCTGCTGATGGGCTCCGGCAGTGACTCATCGCTGCCAGTGTGGAGAAAGGCAGGGGATATGGCTGGAGGCAAGGCAGGTGGCCGGTTCAGATAAGGGGCAAAGGGGCTTGAATGAAGCCAATGCACATTGGGTGGAAAGAATTAGTGAATTTAAAAGAGATCCAGAAATGAGAACCAACAGAATGAGTGGTCTTATCAATTATTTTAAATGATAAAGATAAGGCCCAAGGTAAGGGGCCGGCTAGGATCAATTCCCATACTTATCTAATTCCAAGTCTGTTTTCGAGCACATGCTCAAATTCCTAAGGGTTTGGAATATGTGCTGCTGTCTGTCTTTCCCCAGCACCTGGGAGACACACACACACATAGTTACATGATTTTTAAACATTTACAATGACTGAGACTAAACATCCAAGTGATGATCAGAGAGGGACAGTGTTAACCAGGAGATGCCGTGGGAAGGTGGAATTTAGATAAACCTTGAGAGTATGGGAATTCCTAAGCAGGGTTGTTGGTCACCGCAGACAACACAGCCCAGCTGCGTGGCTTCAGTGACAATCAACACCCTATACCATGGCTCCCAAATAGTATACGAATATAGCTTTTATGTTGCTGTTGTTGTCAGGTATCACTGAGCCAGTTCCGACTCATAACGACACTACACACAACAGAATGAAACACTGTCTGACCCTGCGCTACTCAACAATCGTTGCTTTGTTTGAGGCCACTGTTGCAGGCACTGGGTCAATCTGTCACACTGAGGGTCTTCTTTTTTTGCTAACCCTCCAATTTACCAGCATGATGTCCTTCTCCAAGGACTGGACCCTCCAGATAACATGTCCAGAGTTTGTGTGATGCAATCTCACCATTCTTGCTTCTGAGAACATTTCTGTACTTCTTTCAAGTCAGATTTGTTCATTCTGGAAGCCCATGGTATATTCAATATTCTTTGCTAACACCATAATTGAAATGTATGAATTCTTCTTCAGTCTTCCTTATTCATTGTCCAGCTTTCACATACATGTGAGGTGATTGAAAATACCAAGATTTGTGTCAGGCGTATTTATGCTTAAGGGGTCTTTTGCAGCAGATTTGTCCAATGCAATACTTTTTTTTTTTTTTTTTACGCAAGAGTGAGGTTTTCTTTATTTGATTTTGCAAAAGTGGCACCCACCCCAGTAGATATGGGCAGACGTGAGCTATGGCCAACTCACAAACAGTTTTATTCCCATCTCAAAAAAGTCCCTCCTCCGGTTCCCCTTTAACTGAGTACTAGAGAGTTTACAGTCTACCCGACTAGTCCTTAGTGGTAGCATTCTCATTTAAAATTAGTGTCCCTTCTCCCCATGAATGTCCCATATTTCCTTGATGGGTGTAATTTTATTTTAAAATTTCTAGTCCTAGAATAGATTTCTTTCCCCCTTCCCCCCCGCCCCGCCCCAATTCATCCCAATGTAATACATTTGATACATGGTCCAAATCCAGCATTACTTTCTTGTCACTTTCAGATTCTCCCTCACCCCATTCTTCAACATCCTTCTCAAAACTTCTCTGGTGTAATGAAAATCCAAGTCTCTCAAGTGACCCTAAGGCTTCCTTATTATCATCTGTGTAAGTTGAGTAATGCTCTGTGCTGACGGTACTGTTGATTGTGACTTAGAGCTCAACTTCTCTAACTGGGCTCTCTGGCTCAGTGTGACAAGGAGCTCGATTCTTCAGGGATATGGCTCTACTTCCACTATGTGCTGACATGCACTGGGGTCCCCTGGGGTTCCCCAGATTTCCACTCTCTTGTCATCCCTTCACGCAGCCCCTTTGAATGCCTCTTGCCCTGTGCTCAGCCTCTCTAGGTGTACTGTAACGGCCCAAGGGGGTGGCCTCTTGGTGGCCTGGGACCTCTGGCATCCTTGCAGTCTGGGTTGCTTCTTGCCTGGCAGGGGACTCTCAGAGGGGACAGGGTATGTGGAGATGGCAATACGTTTTTGTCATAGAATTCAGGTGTCTTATAGGTCTCAGCTCTTGGAGTCCTGACATGGTGCTGTAGGATACGCACAGGACCACAAGGTCAGTGGTTCAAACTCACCATTTGCTACTTGGAAATCTTATACTGGGTTGCTAAGGGTGGGCGCCGATGCGATGGCAGTTAGCAACAACAACAAAGGTAACAGCTCAGTGAGTTTTTTCTGGGACAAATCAGCGTTTGCAGCAATAGGGTGCAGCTAGTATCTACCAGTGAGGTTCACACAGAGCATTGAGGCCATTCACCATGAGATGGTCTCACCAGTTCCAACTAGTAGAAGATAAACGGGAGGCTCCGGAGGCGGAACGCCTGCCTCAGGCCACGTACTCTGTTAGGGGTGTGGTCAGGTTTAGAGCTTGGTCAGACCAAGTGCACATGTTGGTGTGAAAAGTGACATCAGAGATCAAACCATCTGTTTTAGACTGAGCCTGTGTCTCCCCCAAATGGGTGCTGCAAACCCTAAGC